TAGAAGACACTTGAGTCTAAAAATACTAAAAAGTTCATTCAAATGGCAGGAAAATATTACTTTTGCGCGCTCGGCGAATGCGAGTCTAAAAATAATCCGTCTCAGGCAAGAGCAGACTCTCAAATAAAAAATCGTAACTTCCAATATAAAGCCGACAGGAATTTGAAATCTCAACATAATATAGAATACACTTGAATCTAAAGTTTCTGACAAGTTTATTCAAATCCCATCAAGTCCTGACTTTTATTCGCTTAGCAAATGTGGTTTTTTGGGCCAGTTTAGAGTCTTTTTACGCTGAAACCAGTGTCGTGCCCGAAGGGCTCGGCACAACAATCGCATTAGATAGTGTTTAGTGTCATTGTTGTGCTGCTTTGCTAAACTTTTCTAGCATAGTTAGTCTCTGATGTAATTAATCGCTTTATATTTGGGTTCAGTATTCGTTACTTCGGATCCTGATGAGTAACGAGTGAGTACTGGAGTAACGAATTGCTAAGTTTGGTTCTTGCGGTTGATGCTGGTTGACTCATTGGCGCCTCCATCGCGTTCTATGGAGGGCATTTCGGCGATTCAAAGTCAGTTAGTTGGATTGAGAGGAAAAATGTATAATGTAGGGTGGGCGCAAACCGCCCTCACCCTGGAAGGGGTATCGTAGCCTCGTGAAACTGAAAAATGCCGCCGTAGGCCGTCGAATCGATAGGAGGCTAGCGCGTCACGTGGTGCGCACGCCAACCAATGCCCGCAGAAAGCCAAGAGATTCCAGTTGGCGAGTTCGGCAAGTTGAAAATAGTTCGAATTCGATAGCGAGCGGGCATGAACGTACTCGGCATCGACATCGAGGCAAAACGTCGTACGTCCGCGATGTGTTTTTAGTGATTTTTCAATCGTCAAACGGCACCATGATGGAAGGTCCCGCTCAGAAGATGTATTCCGAACTGCCTCAGGCGTTGCTGTCCACCAGCAGCCTGGTGCTGCATAGGCATTCGACCAGGTACCATCCGTACCATCGTTTGCACCAGCCGCAGTTTTTCCAACCCGTTCCTCTGCACCACGATCGCGTCTACTTGCGGCAGCGGCCGTTGGATCGGGTGGTGCAAAGCACTGCAGAAGATCAGGACATGCGGAACACCGCTCAGAACGACATGACGTCGAACATTTCCTGCCTCTACCCGGAAATCCTGTCCATCATATTCAGTTATCTGGAAGTGAGAGATAAAGGACGAGTGGCCCAAGTGTGTACGACGTGGCGCGATGCGGCTTACCGTAAGTCGGTCTGGCGCGGCGTCGAAGCCAAGCTGCATTTGAGAAGATCGAGTGTCTCCTTATTCTCCTCGCTGGTCAAGCGAGGCATCAAGCGGGTGCAAATCCTTTCGCTGCGCCGCACATTGCGGGACGTGATCCAAGGCATTCCTAACTTGGAGTCGCTCAACTTGAGCGGCTGCTACAGCATAGGAGACGTGGGCATTGTCCAAGCGCTCACCGCTGAGGTGCCCAGTTTGACCGTCCTCGACCTGTCGCTATGCAAGCAGCTGACCGATAACGCCCTCACGCGGATATCGCAGTTCCTGCGGAACCTGGAGGTGCTGGAGCTGGGCGGGTGCAGCAACATCACGAACGCCGGCCTGGTGCTGATCGCGTGGGGCTTCAAGAAGCTGAAGTGGCTCAATCTGCGCTCCTGCTGGCACATCAACGACCAGGGCATCAACGATCTCGCAATGGGCAACACCTCCCTGGAATATCTGGGGCTGCAGGACTGTCAGCGACTATCGGACGAGGCCCTCAAGCACGTCACCGGCCTCACCTCCCTCCAGTCGCTCAACCTCAGTTTCTGCATCAGCATAACGGACAGTGGGCTCAAGTATTTGGCCAAAATGCCGAACCTCCGCGAGCTCAACCTGCGCTCTTGTGATAATATTTCGGACATCGGGATGTCGTACTTGGCGGAGGGCGGCACCAGGATCACCTCGCTGGACGTTTCGTTTTGTGACAAAATCGGAGATCAAGCACTGATCCACGTCTCGCAGGGCCTGTATAATTTGAAAAGTTTGTCCCTCAGTGCGTGCCAGATATCCGATGCCGGTCTGGAGAAGATCGCCACCACCCTGCACGAACTAGAAACGTTGAACATTGGGCAGTGTTCCCTCATTACCGATAAGGGAATCACCGCCCTCGCTCAGTCGCTGACAAGCCTCAGGTATATAGATCTATATGGTTGCACCAACATCACCACGGTCGGACTGGAAAGTGTAGTCAAGCTGCCAAACCTAAAAATCCTAAATTTAGGCCTTTGGCACGTTAGGTGAAACTCATTCCCGTTTAGATAGAATATTTGCAATGGATTTATAGGTATGCGTTTTTCAATTCGCTGGACTTGTTCGTCTCCTGCGGCCTTTTCCATTTCAAGTGTGCTCAAGGTTTCAACTACCGGTCAATACCAAAAAAATTATGTCCTTAGATTATTAGTTACATTCCATCGTGCTTCATACTGGGGAGCTACTTTTCCATGTCAATTAATCATCAGTATGGTGCCAGTTCATCCAAGCAACCTGTTGGAGAAATACAGTGGACACACTCTCAATGTATGAATAACACAGTACAAAACGATTCTGTATCAGCAGCAATTTGACGACGACTAACTAAAAAGGTTGCTCTCGCGATAAGCAAAAGGTTATGCTGCCTAAGCAATATGGCTTTGTGGTACACATATGGCTGAACTTATTAATAATATTAGCATCATTGAGATTATAGTCTTATTCTAACAGTCCCTCTTAATCTAAATGCTATTTAATATAAATCAATTTTAATCAAACATTAAACACAATTTTCTGCAA